TTGAGTGGCCCAGCCAGAGCCCGGACTTGAACCCGATCGAACATCTCTGGAGAGACCTGACAATAGCTGTGCAGCAGCGCTCCTCATCCAACCTGACAGAGCTTGAGAGGATCTGCAGAGAAGAATGGTAGAAACTCCGCAAATACAGGTGTGCCAAGCTTGTAGTGTCATACCCAAGAAGACTTAAGGCTGTAATCGCTGCCAAAGGTGCTTCAACAAAGTACTGAGTAAAGGGTCTGAGTACTTATAATTGAATACTGAAAATTTATAAAAACCTGTTTTTGCTTTGTCATTATGGGGTATTGTGTGTAGATTGATGAGGGGGAAAAACTATTTAATCAATTTTAGAATAAGGCTGTAACCTAACAAAATGTGGAAAAAGTCAAGGGGTCTGAATACTTTCCGAAGGCACTGTATATATTTTGTTTTTATCTGCCATTTGACCTCAATGCATCTGGCAGAAACCAGCAACTGCAGATGAGTCACCTATTTTGTGTGGTTGGTGCGTTATAGGTTATGCATATATTGCGTGGATGGCGCGGGTAGGTTCTACTACACCCACATACAGTATACCTATCAATCGTTAATTCGTTTGTAGCAAAGCAACGGTCCCTCGCAGTGACGTAGAAAGAGCAGTGTGTGTGAGTCAGAACAACTAGGAAATCCCCAAGTGAGAGTTACGACAGAAGGTGCTGCTCCTTTAAGTAAAGACTTCCTAAGACAAGCACGACACGAAAGGAGCAGATAAACAACAACCGCCGCGGTTAGAATAACATCGAATAGACCGTTTAACGGGATTCATCTTGTTCATACAAACGACGGATCTTTAAGGTAAGAGTGTTGTTTATAGCTAGACTATGATACACAAAACGTGTTATTTTACTAGTTATAAGGAAAATGGTATATGGTACGCTTTCTTATAGCCCAGGCCGGCATGGCAAATATGGACATCGACATGACAGACAACACACTTTACACTTAAGTCCAGAAATGAGTCTATATTGTATAGGCTATTGCAACACTATGTTTATGTGTACAGGTAGGCCACTATATAATTCATAGGCTCAATTCAGAAGGCTCAATGCTGTGAGTAATTTTGTAACTACGAGACTTAATTCGTCCATCCTGTTGTTTCATCCGCAAACGAGCTTCTCCCGTCATGCGCACTTTATTTGGCCAATACGCAGGAACGCAATTGTTTTCATGGCAACTATTTCCCCATCCGCAGGTGTGTCAAAGCCCTATTTCTGCTGATTACGCTTATCAAAAATTCCAGAACACTGTTGAAAGCCATTGCGGAAGTAAACCCAACCTCGTCGACGTGAGAAGAGAGAATCTAGGAGGACACCAAGTGGACTCAACGGAGAAGTACTGCGCGCGTTCTTCTGTATGGGAGAGATGTACGGATCGTCAGGAATGCCAGATCTGATTCCATCGAATGGTCCGCGACAGCCCGGTCCGGCCGGCCAGTTCAACCCGGGACATATGCAGGTAACACAGAATGGGCATGAGAGGCCCAACCCCCAGAGACTAGGGCAGCGGGCGCCCAAGCTTGGACAAATTGGTCGTTCCAAGAAAGGTGAGTAAAGTGGAAAGAGTCCTCTCCCTGTACACCCACATATTTTGAGACAGAGATACTGTATTGTGATTTTGTGATTATGTCAGGTTTTATGAGTATAGACCAAGATAGGGTATCTTGCATCAGAGAGACATTTAAAACCAGAATCTGTCATCTTTCCAGCCTCCCCACCACTATATAATCTTATCAAAATAGTAATAAAATATGATTATTCTCTACCTTATTAACACTTAAGCTACTGTTTGAGTAGATATTCAACTAATTGTTACCTTTCCCTTTTTCAGTGGACCTAGGGGACGAGGACGTGGATGACATCATGAATAATAATGGCCAATAATAATGTCCCGTGTCCCTCAACCACTCACCCATTTCCTAAACCACACCACATGTGCCAATGAAGATTTTCGAAGCCAAACTCAACTGAATCAATTTGACCTTGATCAATCAACTTTTTAAGTGACCTCCCCAGAAGCTTGGCCTAGGGTATCATAGCTGAAAAGGTCATTGTGGCACATTGAGGGACAGTTCTATTGCCGGAATTCTAGACATTAGTTCTAGACATGAATTGTAGGATTCTATAGACCTTTGCATCAAAAGCTTGTATATTGCAGTTAACTTGTCTGTTGTTATACTGTGAATGAATTGTACTGAAACTTGTTCTGCTCTTATTACCTCTGTAGTGGACTATCTGCACTTGGAAAAGTACAGTGTGGCTTGTCTTTAAAGCTTCTAAAGGGCTACATTTGAAAAAAGTCAAATGAAATCAGGTAGGAGTGTTGAACTAGGATCAGGTCGCCACTTGTCTATAGAATCTTATTTAATATAATCTAAAAGGCAAGTCTGATCCTAGATCAGCACTCTGAGAGGCTATGAATACAGTTGTCTTGTTGGTTACTGATTTTACAAGGTGGATGTTGTGTAGAAGGCAGGAAGGAAGCCTGTTGATGTGTAACGCACAGGTGGAACATTGAGTTACTGACAGTTGTGATTTAACCTAAATCTGTGATTCTCTCACCTTGTGGAGTATCAGGTTACTGCTGAATAATCACTATTTTGGAATGCAGGGACAGTTGGAAAAGGTTACTACTGATAATTTATATTGACAAAAAAATATGATTGTTTTGGTTTATTACCTTGTTTTAAATCAATTATGGATGGCTATTATTTTCCAGAACATTTTTTTCAAGGAGTTGATATAATATATGGTTTATGTTGTTTTTCTTATGTTATTGCGTAATGGTGCACTTTGTGGGAATGACTGTTAAATATGTGACGATGAAACTTTACATATTTCTATGCACGGATTCTATTTAAGCATCAAAACATGTCAGGGCAGTTTTCCTGTCCAGAAGGGCTACTTTCTTCTTTGGTGTTTAAATGTTATTATCATAAAGGGTTGAGTCCCAAATGGCACCCAATTCCCTACATAGGACCGATGGGCCCTAGTCAAAAGTAGTGCACTATATAGGGAATAGGGTGCCGTTTGGGACACATCCAGTGTTTCATGGTCATGTGGACTATAAGGACAATGTTGACCTAACTAATGCCTGTACACTGGTCACTACTTTCAGTGAAGCATTGCATTTCACAGCATAGCTAATAGTGGCGCTGTCATGATCACATGGCTTAAATGGATGGAATTGCTATGTGCATTGGGAGCGTTTGCATGAAAATTTGATGATTTTTGCATAATAATGCATTATTGGTAATAAAGGCGGGAAGAGATTTTCTTTTTTAATGGAACATTTATTATATCAGTTATAACGCAACCTCCAGAATTACACTCGCCCATGTCGTACTTCTAAACAGCCAAATACGAGCCCCCCATGTCGAACCAAATACGACAAAGAAGACATCACCTGCTTGTATAATATTCCTGTTGTGTATTTTACTATCAGAAATGTTCCATATTGGGATATTGACAGTTAAGACATTGCATTTTAACTGTTGTTATGAGAAAACAAGAACTATTGGATCAACTTTCAATAAAATAAAAACGTGCTAGATATACAAATCGTACAAAAACATGGATTATGTAGTAAGCTACATGGCAATTTATTAAAATAAACATTTCTAGAAACCTTTCGGAACATCTCACAATCATAGAAATATAATTACTATTTAGTAATCTAGTTACTATTACTATCTAGTAATTTTATTTCTATGCATACAACATCACCAAATACAAAAGCACCCAGGGTTAAAATTCCGCTGAGCATCTTTTCAGTCAAAGGCAGGATGGTTGAGCTTTCTCAGTGTTCAGCACAAAGATCAAACATAGGCTACAGAATATTATCTAAAGCTAAAAGCAAAAACCACAAGGCTGAACTGGACTAAACTAGCACTTGGGAATGGTACTACCATAGTCTGCTACATTTAAAACACAGAGGCTACAATCAGAACTCAACACTAGCATTCCATATGGAACGCATTCCAAACACATTGCTCCATCCTAAGTAGAATGCTAGTGTGGACATCAGAACAGAGCAAGACTTCATACAGAGTAATTAACAAATGGTCAAACACATAAATCAAAACCTGTTTGATGATAATGTATATAGTGTATTACAATAATAAAAACAAACACTCCTTGTAATAGTAGTAGTCAAGGCACCTGTTAAGAATGACTGTGCTGAAAGATATTTCATAATGGGATAGAGTATATTGCAGGCCTGTATGAAAAGCCCTCTCCCTTTTGGAGTGCAGTTATGAATTGCTTGGTGATTCACCATAGTGTATACAGTCACTCACAACTAGTGTGAAGTCGCACTTGGCTTGAACATTGGACGCCATTGGAGACAGTCATGTCTACAGAAAACTCCATTGTAAAATAATTGGTGGTGTGCTTGTCCCTTTTGCTATTATACATACATAGCTATCCCCTGAGTATGCCAAAAGTATGCCCTTAGCACCACACCGAGTTTAATTGATTATCTTCAATTACAATGGAAATGTTAAATTAAATACAGTGTTTCTTACAGGGGGGTGAGAGTGTTTGCCATGAGGCTGAACTTGGCTGTAATACGAGAAGTGTATGTGTGTGTGTGTGTGTGTGTGTGTGTGTGTAATACGAGTACATACACCCTAAGACACGGTCTGATAATATAAGGCGCATCCAATAACCAATTATAGTGTATTTGTGAGGCCCACTCATAAATTCATAAAGAATTGTGGAATGTTGGGAGGGGGTGAGAGACATCACTCAAAAACAAACTACTGCAGTTGGTAGAGCATGGCGTTTGCAACGCCAGGGTTGTGGGTTCGATTCCCACGGGGGGCCAGTATGAAAAATGTATATACTCACTAACTGTAAGTTGCTCTGGATAAGAGCGTCTACTAAATGACTAAAATGTAAAAATGTAGAGTCTTGTTGGGGTGGGGGTCTGGGGTCGTGGGGGGGGGGGGGGGGGGGGGCTGTCTGCTCTGTAATACTATATTCACATCCAGTAATTCTTTCTATCTTTGTCATTCTGTCATACAATCCCGATATGCCCCCCAAATGCAAACTTCATGGGCGACATTTACGTTGTCCAAAAGAGCACAGATCTGTGCAAAAAAATACCGTAAACCTCATTATAATCTGGCAGCGTAATTTAATTTGAAACTCATGCTTGACTCTTTATGCATTGCTCAGTTTACTAAACTGTTGTTAAATAACCGCCTCCTTAACACACATTGTTGGAAGAAACGTTTCAGATTAAATGACGATGCCAGAAGATAATGAAGTTTACAGTATTTCTATACATATCTGTGTTCTTTTGCACCACGAAAATTTCGCCCCATAAGTACAACAGACTAGTCATGTTCGACTCCATGTACAAACTCCTTCATATTCAATCTTCTGTTATTCCGGTTATCGGCAGTAGAGGGCACTCACACATACTCCTTGGTGCTGCTGGGGGGTGAGCGGGCGCTCACGCCGCTCATGGCAGGGTATTTGGGCACCGGCTTTTTACTCCTGGGACAGGAAGATGCCAGCATGGCTCCCCCCAGCACGTCCAGGAAAGAACCTCCCCAGGCGATAAAGATGGCTGCTCCAAACTCAAACCTGTGAGTGGGGAGAGGGAGAGAAGAGTGAGACATGGTTTTAGAGAAGTGTTCTTTAGAGCAGCCTTACAGATAATGAAACATAATTTTGTCCATTATCGTCCTTACGAAAAAAGATTGCAGTCAGAGTGCAGTATAACTGCAGTACTGTATAACTACTGTGCAATATGCTGCAAATACTGCATCCAAAATAACACCGTTTTTTTTACTACAGTAATTTTGCAGTGTAACTGCAGTTACAGTGCAGTATAACTGCATTTCAACTGCAGTACACTGCAGTTATTCTGCAATTACTGTGTCCAAAATACCACAGTCGACTGCAGTTACTACACTTTTACTGCAGTAAAAGGGCGCTAACAGGTTAATGTAACCGTAAAAAAATATTCTGGAATTGTGTGGCCAGCCAAGGCAGGGATACTTACTTGGTGTTAACAGGAGTATAAGGGTTATAGAAGGCCCGGATGACATTGTGTGCGAACCACGAACAGGCCACCACTGCACACAGAGCTGAATGAGAAAGAAAAAAACAGACACGTACAACAAAAGATGGATCAAACGGATCAGCATTGTCTTACGTCAGATGGTGTCACTCCTAAGCGACGCTCGTCCCTCAACCGATCGGTCTTGTAGGACGTGGAACTCATATTAACATTTTAATATTCCAGAGCATCCGCCATTCAAATATGAAAACATTGTTCCTAATTTATGATATCACTGCGCTTTCATTGATCCTCTATGAAATAGGCAGAATAGCTAGCTAAATTATCACACGTTGTGACAGTGATTTCATCATTTGCAATTGGGAGAAAATAAAAACAAAATGGTGGCTACCTCCTGCAAAAATTATGTGCATTATCACACGTTGTGACAGTGATTTAATCATTTGCAATTGGGAGATATATATATAACACGTGGATGTAACACAAACAAAAGAGCGAGGTGTAAACCTCTAAACAATACACGGGACGACACCCGTAATAACAAGAGCACAATACACGGTACTCACGAGACCAACGGACATAGGACAATAATCGACAAGGACAATGGGGAACAGAGGGCACATAGATACACATAATAATCAGGGGGAATGGGAACCAGGTGTGCGTAATGAGACAAGACAGTCCGGGGTTGGTGGTAGTGAACCAGATCAGAATGAGCAGCAGTACCGGGGGGATCCGTGACAGTGCAAGCACGTCCGCCGCAAGTGACTTGATCAGCTGCTTAACGTTAGCTAACTTGTAGCTAGCTTACTGACATACACTACTGGTCAAAAGTTACTTTTACCAAATAGGGTTATCTTCTGTATACCCCCCCCTACCTTGTCACAACACAACTGATTGGCTCAAATGCATTAAGAAGGAAAGAAATTCCACAAATTAATGTTTAAGAAGGCACACCTGTTAATTGAAATGCATTCCAGGTGACTACCTCATGAATCTGGTTGAGAGAATGCCAAGAGTGTGCAAAGCTGTCATCAAGGCAAAGGGTGGCTATTTGAAGAATCTCAAATATAAAATATATTTGTTTAACACTTTTTTGGTTACTACATGATTCTATGTGTTATTTCATAGTTTTGATGTCTTCATTATTATTGTACAATGTAGAAAATAGTAAAAAATTAAGAAAAAACCTTGAATGAGTAGCTGTTCTAAAACTTTTGACCGGTAGTGTAGCTACCTAGCTAGCTCTACCTTACTGACATAAACAGATTGATTGGCTTGTTTAATTACCCTCAAGTTGTAGACATGCTGCCCCAAAAGTAAGAGGGAATGTTATCTGATTCGGGGCACAGACTTGCTGCAGAACAGGCAGCGCATCTGCTTCATGAAAACAGCTAGCTTTTGGTGGAAGCATTCAGCATTGTGTGTGCAGCACAAGGTAGCTGGTTGATTAGCAGCATCCCATTATTCCTTTTATATGAAGTGACTGGCTCAGCTAGCAAGTTAATGTTGGACAAATCTAAGCTAGATTTCGTGCACATTGTCATTCTTCAGAAATACTGCTTGTTAAAGCACAAAACACCTTTGATAGATGTAAAATGGTGCAACTAAGACTTCCTCACCAAAAAACTTCCAAATTATTGACTAGGGCTGTTACGGTGGCCATATTACCGCCACACCGGCTGTCATGACCGCAGTTAAATTCCACTTGACCGTTTACTCACGGTAACTTGGCTTCTCCAAGCTCTGATGCTGCTGATGGTCATTAGTAGCCTACCAAACTTGCTAACTGCCTGGTACTCAGCACTCTATTGTCCCTCTAATCTCTCTGACATCAATGCAAATGTCTTCGAAAATCTAATTAAAACACTTCATGAGTACTCATGTTGTGCAACATTTCTATAGGCTATGCAATTGCGTGAGAAAACAGAGTTTTGATGGGCTCTATTAAAAAGAGGAGGATCCCATCAGCTTTCTATAGGCTAGGCCTACTATATTTATTTCTCAACTTTCCTTATATTAAGCACATTGCTTCTCTTTACAACAGGAGTATAGACTACCTGGCTGGCATGAAAATGAACCATGGGAAAAGCGTCCACCTTTTGCTATTTAAGTGCATAGATGACATGTATTTTTTACCCTGCCCTGTTCCGAGACAGGTGTATGATAAAGGCCCATGCATAATCGCATTTGCGGTCACTTTTGAGAATTGTGTTTTCCCGCTAATTGATTGCATTTTGAAACATTCGCACTTATAGCCTACTGCCGTGTGCGCATTGCTGCGATTATAATATGAAGAAATAGCCTAATAGTTTATCAACATTTTTTAACTCAATGTTCTGATCTGTTGCATCAAAAGGTTTTTTGATGCGAGTGGTTGTATTAATTTGGCCTCTATCGCATCCCACAACTGTCCCAGACGATGTTTGGAATATTTATTTCTTGCACAGAATAGAATAGGTCAACGTTTGTACTATGGGGGATAGTAGATTGACATAGGCTAGTGCTTTTGCTGTTCGTTAGGCCTACTCATCTTGTTGGCTGATGAAAAGTAAATGTAGACAGTTCTTCTAACATCTTCAATATGCGCCTCGGAATGCGATAAGAAGGACACGCGCAGTTACGTCCCCGATGTGTCTGTATCCACTTCTAGCCTACTTCGGAGCTAAGATGCCTGTGAGAAGGACCCGATCACGTGACGGGCATTGGCTGATAAGAATTGAGATATCTGAGAGAGCCATGTGAGTGAGAGGTGCTTTGGAGCACAGCGATTGGCAGCCAGGAGAAGGGAATTATAATTATTATATTCAGCCCAAGGGCACAACGGCCACACAAGGAGGATGCCGCCAGGAAATTTGAGGCCTGGTGAGAATATTATCAAGTGCTTGTCAAATTGTGAATGAGAGACTGATGAAGTGTGTGCAGCCTGCGCAAGAAACAAAGCAGAGCTCACACCTTTCATGATACTTTTTTCGAATCATCATTAGAGTCGCATCATGCATGCAAAACATAGCCCAACGTTTATATCACAATTAAAGTTGCATAAATAACTCTAAATTAAGCATATAGGAGGACCTGTTTCTTTGTTAACCGCTCAACACAGAATAGCCACATGTGCGCACTCCCTCTGAAATCATTTGGAGAAAGTATCCTTTCTATTTTATTCAGCTATGTTCAATTGTATTCTTCATACTATAAAATAATGCCACGGAATTCTAAGCAAGTCTTGTCTGCTAAATGAACTAGTGTAGCCCACAGCCATATGGCATAGCCAGATCAGGGCCTAACATAATGTCAGAGCATGCTATTCTGTTCATCTGAAATAGACTACATTTTCTTCATATCATGTTTCTTTAGACCTGTCTAAAATAAATAATGGATTTATTGTGATGGTGTAGGCTATATTAAATGGATGTATTATACTTTTTAAAATGTAGACGTTCCAAAGGTCTGCATCAGTGGCTTGGAGGCTATGTGTGGAAGCCAGGAGATGCTAAAGGTGTTTATGTTAATTACAGTCAATTACCATGAGACCAGCAGTTATTTGCTTGACCAATCACCGTCTGACTAAATGTCATGACCGCCACAGCCCTATTATTGACAGATTTATTGTTTTAGCTTAGATTAATTGAGAAGGTTTTGAGGTATAAATGGGGTTCGGTAGACGATGTCCCCTAAGTACTATTTTTGAATGTTATGATAGCCCATTGTAGCCGGACTACTTTCAAGCTATCCCATTACCCTTTGCGAGATACGAGACAGATCAGTGCAGGCGGAATTGAAGCGCTATCTGACGTAAGACAATGGCAGATCAGTACCATCCAGGCATCATCAATAGGTATTTGAGAGAGGGGAGCCAAACACTTATCATGAAGTCATTGGGCGGCTAGCTATTAAGTCACCCCTCCCCCACCGACCATACTGCCATTGTCCTATAAGAGTCTTCAAGTGATCTAAGATCAGGTCCCCCCGGTCCATTCATTATTATCTAAAAGGCAAAACTGATCCTAGATCAGCACTCCTACTCTGAGAAACTTTAGACCCTGTAAAATGACAGGTAGCCTAGTGGTTCCCGAGCATTGGGCCAATAACCGAAAGGTAGCTGGTTCAAATCCCTGAGATGACTAGGCGAAAAACCTGTCAATGTGCCCTTGAGCAAGGCACTTAACCCTAATTGCTCCTGTAAGTCGCTCTCGATAAAAGCGTCTACTAAAATGTAAAACAACACATTTCACTGCACCTATCCGGTATATTTGACAATAAAACATACACATTTAGTCTACTCTGAGACCCATTCGCTTTTTACTGGCATCGATCTATGAGAGTTTCTAATGACCTCTTATATAACAGTAACAATCTGCGTCCCAAATGACACCCTATTCCCTATATAGTGCCCTACATTTGACCAGCGACATTTGACAAGTGAAAAGTAGTGCACTAAATAGGGAATAGTGTCCGAGTAATTAATAGCCACAGTCAGTAAAACGTGCCCATTCTCTCCCTCTGTGATCTCCAGGGGAACCTGGGTAGATGAGTGTGACTTTTATTGTGCAACGTTTCGACCCGAAGGTCTTCGCCAGGTTTAGATGAGTGAGAGACCAGCTTAGACCAGCATAGAAAGAATGTTACAAAAGTAGGGCCCTGAGATTTTCATGACCAAGTCATTTAATCATGTAGGGAAAACTCTGTACCCTAAGAAAATAAATAGGTTGGGGGGGGATGGGAGGAGTGAGAGAGAGAGAGAGAGCGAGAGGAGAGAGGAGAGAGAGGTGAATAGAGAAGAGAAGAGCGGGGAGAGTAGAGAGAGTAGAGAGAGAGAAGAGAGAGAGAGAGAGGAGTAAGAGTAGCGATATATAGAGAGAGCGAGAGAGATGAGCAGAAGATCAGAGATACTAGCTATATCCACCTATTCTATCTCTTCTCTCTATATGACTCTATCGCTACTCTCTCTCTTCGCTCTCTATCTCTCTCTCTCTTATCTCTCTCTCTCTCTCTCTCTCTCTCTCTCTCTCACCTCCAACCAGTAGGATGATGCCTCCAGTCATGGCGGTGCGAGACTTGCGCACTTTGTTGTTCCCTCCGCAGGTGGTACACTTCATGCCCATGGTGGCCACGCCCAGCCCAGCGATGGATACAATGATGCCAACGATCATCAGGGCACGGGTGGCCTGGAGAGCGCCTGAGACACACACAAACACACACACACCAGGGAGGGGAGAGAGCGGGATAAGGGAGAGGAGGGAAAGGAGTAACAAGATAGTGAAAGAATCAGAGAATGAAGTAGTGTGTGTGTGTGTGTGTGTGTGTGTGTGAGAGAGAGAGAGAGAGAAGGACAGAGAGAGACAGAGAGAGAGAGCGGGAGAGAGAGAGCGAGAGAGATGTGGTACAGTTATAGAAGGATATTGTATAGAAAGCTTTCATTTATAGGCATTGGGGATATATTGCAAATGTCAAATAAAAAACGTTAGTTTTTTATCAGCAAGTAAGCAAAAGGTGTGAACAAATATAAAATATACATTATCAACACAATCCAACCACAACAGTGGATGTTCACAAAGTATGGGATTTAAAAAAGTGACTGTATACACACAGCTCTATGCATCACTGGGGTTTAATGTGCGTGTCTAATGGATGTGAAATACATTCACATGAAGCTGACACGATACTTTAATGTGTGTTTTTCCTGGACGAGAAACCCTGAGATACCCCCTCCCTCTTGCTCTGTCTCCCTCTCTCTCCCCCTCTCTCTCCCTTTCTCTCTCTGTCTCGCTCTCTCTCTTTCACGCTCTCTCTCTTCCATCTGCTTTTGTTGAGGGGAATGGGGCAGTGAAAGCTACTGTCTGGACACCCTAATCTGTCACCTCCCTCATAAAACTTACAGAGGGAGGGAGACAGAGAGGGAGAGTACCTCCTTAGTCCACCCTGAACCAGTCTGTGCCAGTCCAGGCCATCCCTGAGCTCACAAACAAAACCCTTCATCCCTGAGAAAGGGAGGGAGGGATGGAGAGAAGGAGAGAGAGGGAGAGTACTTTTCTTTTACTTTTAGATGTGTGTGTATTGCTGTTAATTGTTAGATATTACTGCACTGTTGGAGCTAGGAACACAAGCATTTCACTACACCCGCAATAACATCTGCTAAATATGTGTATGTGACCAATTTTATTTTATTTGAGGATGGGGGTGGGTGAGAGGGCAATTGAGGGTGGGGAAGAGAGGGGGATAGAGGGGGACAGAGGGAGAGGGTGATAAGGAGGAGAGAGGAAGGAAGAAATACTAATCTTCTGCTGTACTCTAAACACACAATGAGGGTCCTTTCACCAGGCATGCATATTGGGGCTACCATTGAATATCAACCCATCACCTATGTACCACTGACCCCCTTGTACCCTTCTAAAAATAAAAAAAACCTGCTCGCTGTCAGGAGATGCAGTTACAACCAGTTAAAACTGGGACCCCCCTAAGTGTTCTGAATCTGAACAAGCATCTCTGTTCAATGGAACCCCTCTCAACAACAACTATGACCAGAGAAACCAATAGGAGTAGATGGGGAGTTATATCAAATTACACCCAGGTTCTCGTCATCGTGGTGCCCTAAGGGTCTGGGGCGAACCGAAGTGGGAGGAGGAGGGAGGGGGGTAAAATTCCTGTACAGGGTACTGTGCTGCTGTCGCCATGGCTACTCCTGTGTTCTGTATTCTTCTGGTTGTTTACCGTTAGGTCGTTAGGACCAGGTCGTCTCTGGCATCTGGAGCCCCAGGCAGCCCCCACTCTATGCCAAGGTACAGTGGGTGATGAATGGGCAGGGGCCTGCCAGTAGGGGCCTTACCACTTAGGGGGTGGAGCGACCCAGCCGTGTGAGAATATACAGCAGAGGGGTGGAGGTGGGTGGGGAGGTTGGTGAGAGGTTGCTAGAAGTTAACACTATCCCACTGTATGTTAACACGAAGGGTGCTACTAAAGAATAACCATGAGAGGGGCAATTAATGACTAACAGCTCTGAGCCAACACCTTTATCAGTGGCACCAATGTGCTGTATTGAGGAAGCACTGCTCCGTAAAGGGGAGTTCCCGACACAAGTGAAGTCACCATCTTCATGGAAATCCTCCTTTGATAATTAGATAATAGTGGATATACAGTAAAGTGCTGCACAGTATGCACATACAGTCACAGACAGTGAAAGAAAAAATGAGCATGTCATAAAATAAATATTTTGCTTAAAGGGGCAATCTGCAGTTGCTACATCAATTTTTTGAATTATAAATTAATGATATGTACACGTTAATTATTGAATAATATAACTTATAAACGCCTCATGAGCTTACTTCAACTGTCCTACCCCATCAGAACCGAAAATATAAGATTGTTTTCCTCCAATGTTTGTAAACAAAGTAAATGTAAACAAACACTATATAGCCTTGAAACATGGTTAAAACTATAATGTTGATATCATGGATGGTCAGTCCTTGTATCCATAGCTCTGTCTATGAATTTGAGAGTGGGTGTATTTCTCCAGGCACATCCATCAGCTTTTTACCAACAGGGGCGATTTCTTATTGTTTCAACTTCTGATTGCCGCTTTAAAGCATCTATACTTACTGTCGAGCTGCAGGATCGAGTCGTATATTTTACATTGGAGCTGCCCTGTGCTCTGGAAAGCGCATGACATCCATAGTCCTTGGTACATGGCAACCGCCGTTATGATGTTGTCTCCTATGTACGCAGACATCTTCCACTGTGGCAGAATGGTCCCCACGATGAGTGCAATGACACCGACGAGTGACAGGCCGAATCCTAAAAGTTGAATTCCCGAGTTTGCCATCTTGAAAAAATTTGATTATGTGGATTATTTTAATTCCTAAATAAATAAGTTTCTGTTGGCGAAAAAAAACGAAGAATCCTTTGTGTGCGTGTGTCCAAAGGCGAAGGTTCTCTTATTGCAGCCTCCCCTTTCTCACTACACCTGCTTTCGTTATCCTTTCAAGTTAGGTCTACCTACATATGTTCCTTTTACGCGGCAGAATAGCGGAGTCAGTAAACACAATCTCTGAGTTGTGAAAAAGTTTTGCTTCTCTATCTCCTTTCCACCTGTTGTCTGTTATAGTTTGAGCCTCGCCTTGAATACTGTAGTAGTGAGTGTGCGGGAAGGAAGAGTTAAATTCTGGATGGTGGGCGCGCGAGGGGAGGTGTCCCATGCCCGGTGATGCGTAGGTCTCTTCTCGCATCCACTCCTCCCGTGGCAGTTACCGTTATGTCACGCCCATTGATTTGGCTACTCCTCGAGCGGGTCGGTAGTCGATACTGTAAAAAACAACGGTACAGTTCATATCGGGCTGACCGTAACTATTTGTTCAGTGTCAGAATGCCAACGTTGCTATCTACACCTGTTGTACTTTCCCAGGCCTTATCCCCCTCCCACACACACATTATTGAACAGATTAAACTGTTTGTACATTGGTCCCTGGAACTGCCAAGAGACACAGTGGGTTCATCTTTTACCTTCAACAGTTGTCCAACTGACGATAATGTACCTTTTCTTAGAGCTTGTTTTCCAGTTAGGGATGCCTGTCCTTGTAGTCATAGATATGCATTTGTATAGAGAAAGATTACATTATAGGCCTTGTTAATAACATTATAAAGGCTTATATGTGCTTATAACAAGATAGACATCAGTATATGTGGATGCTTTAAGTAAAGTGTTACCAAATTATCCACCTGATTCTTTATAATACTTTAGTCTTGTGTTGAATCATATCGCATTGTTCAGGTCAGTAGATAAACCTTGTTTGTTATGTAATTTAAAAACAGGATACACCTCATTAGAATACTATCAATCTTTAATAAAATCCTTGTGGGGATAATTTTACTTTTGTTGTCTAGACTTTAGAAAAGCAAGCAATTACTACATGTACTGAATAACTCTCATATTCCTTCAATCTTTTACCCAGATTGTAGCAGAGATGCAGAGAAGCATTTTTAGTTTCTTTAAAAAAACCTTCAATCAGGAGGATACAGACAGTTCAAGAGGTATGCTTAGATATGCAGAAAAATACTTGGTTTAAATGTAATCTGGCACCTTATGATAATATCATTATATTTGTGTATTCATTATGATGCCATGATATGTACCTGTATTGATGATGTGTGTTATGATCCCATGTACTGTGTTGTAATTTGGATGTAATATCCTAGTCATGTTAGTGCACCTTACTGAGATGTGTGAGTTACAACAGTCAGAATGACACCCTCATTAAAATGACAATTGAACAGGTAAAGTGGTATGCTTAGATAACCTAAGCAGACAAATGGACATATTTTGTACATAGAATTAGGCATAATAATTATGGCTCTAGATTGCAGGAAAAAGCTGTTTCAGGTGTTGGAAAAATGCAAAATTCCAGTCAATTCAGGAAGTACACTGAAATTCCAGTTCCAATTCTCTTCAATGAGGAACATTTGGAATTGGAATTTGGTTTACTTTCTGAATTGACTGCAATTGAAATGGAAGTGACTCCAACCCTGGTGGGGCCAGATGGAATCTGATGGTTTTCAGCATTTTTTCAAACAGAATCATTTCGTCTTTGCTTGCCGAATTTGGCTTGATTTGAATTCATATTTTATCATGGGCCACAGTAAAGGAATTACCTCCCTACAGTATTTAATTTACATAATTTAGCAGACACTCTTATCCAGTGCATACATTTTCATACTAGTCCCCCGTGGGAATCGAACTCACAACCCTAGCGGTGCAAGTGCCATGCTCTACCAACTGAGCTACACAGGACTACTCCCAGATCTGTCATGCTGACTGAATCAATTAATCATCCATTGAGCACTTCACTTCCTGGTTGGGATTGGGCAGTTATCAGAAAACAATGGCCGCCATTGTCCCTAGAGCAACATGACTGGCGCCACAGTGTGTGTGACTTCGCACAGCTAGGAAACCACGATCCACAGTCAGACACTGGGAGGAAGCTATGATCATAGACGCTCTGGGAGGAAATCATATCTGCAGTGCCAGAATACTGGGATTTTTGCAAGCCACCAGTGTATTAAAGGTATTATAATACATAGTTAGATATTGGTGTTTTCTTGGTGAGTTCAATCAACTGGGTGTTTCTCACAGAGCACAGTAGGCTACAGGATGTCCCAAGGGCAGGGCTGAGCCCCCCCCAATCCGTCCCTTGAATCTCCTCCCTCCTCCACCAGCACCCTTCATCTCCCCACCCTGCAGCCAGTAGCCCTGGTTATACCTGGTTCTAACCTGATCTTGTCCACATTCTGATTGTTTTCAGACAGGTGTAGACGACTAAAAGATGCATTGTGATCTGATTGTGATCTTCCCGACCCCCTACCTGAGCTAATAGGCACCCATTGTGTCTGGATATCTTACAAGTGCAGACAGATACAATGAGGGAAAAAAGTATTTGATCCCCTGCTGATTTTGTACGTTTGCCCACTGACAAAGACATGATCAGTCTATCATTTTAATGGTAGGTTTATTTGAACAGTGAGAGACAGAATAACAACAACAAAATCCAGAAAAACGTATGTCAAAAATGTTATAAATTGATTTGCATTTTAATGAGGTATATAAGTATTTGACCCCTCTGCAAAACATGACTTAGTACTTGGTGGCAAAACCCTTGTTGGCAATCACAGAGGTCAGACATTTCTTGTAGTTGGCCACCAGGTTTGCACACATCTCAGGAGGGATTTTTTTCCACTCCTCTTTGCAGATCTTCTCCAAGTCATTAAGGTTTCGAGGCTGACATTTGGCAACTCGAACCTTCAGCTCCCTCCACAGATTTTCTATGGGATTAAGGTCTGGAGACTTGCTAGGCCACTCCAGGACCTTAATGTGCTTCTTCTTGAGCCACTCCTTTGTTGCCTTGGCCGTGTGTTTTGGGTCATTGTCATGCTGGAATACCCATCCACGACCCATTTTTAATGCCCTGGCTGAGTGATGGAGGTTCTCACCCAAGATTTGACGGTACATGGCCCCGTCCATCGTCCCTTTGATGCGGTGAAGTTGTCCTGTCCCTTAGCAGAAAAACACTCCCAAAGCATAATGTTTCCACCTCCATGTTTGACGGTGGGGATGGTGTTCTTGGGGTCATAGGCGGCATTCCTCCTCCTCCAAACACGGCGAGTTGAGTTGATGCCAAAGAGCTCGATTTTGGTCTCATCTGACCACAACACTTTCACCCAGTTCTCCTCTGAATCATTCAGATGTTTACATTTACATTTTAGTCATTTAGCAGACGCTCTTATCCAGAGCGACTTACAGGAGCAATTAGGGTTAAGTGCCTTGCTTAAGGGCACATCGACAGAATTTTCACCTAGTCGGCTCGGGGATTAGAACCAGCGACCTTTCGGTTACTGGCACAACGCTCTTACCCACTAAGCTACCTGCCGCCCTGTATATGTGACGGCCCTGTATATGTGCTTTCTTGAGCAGGGGGACCTTGCGGGCGCTGCAGGATTTCAGTCCTTCACGGTGTAGTGTGTTACCAATTGTTTTCTTGGTGACTATGGTCCCAGCTGCCTTGAGATCATTGACAAGATCCTCCCGTGTAGTTCTGGGCTGATTCCTCACCATTCTCATGATCATTGCAACTCCACAAGGTGAGATCTTGCATGGAGCCCCAGGCCGAGGGAGATTTACAGTCTTTTGTGTTTCTTCCATTTGCGAATAATCGCACCAACTGTTGTCACCTTCTCACCAAGCTGCTTGGCAATGGTCTTGTAGCCCATTCCAGCTTTGTGTAGGTCTACAGTCTTGTCCCTGACATCCTTGGAGAGCTCTTTGGTCTTGGCCATGGTGGAGAGTTTGGAATCTGATTGATTGATTGCTTCTGTGGACAGGTGTCTTTTATACAGGTAACAAGCTGAGATTATGAGCACTCCCTTTAAGAGTGTGCTCCTAATCTCAGCTCGTTACCTGTATAAAAGACACCTGGGAGCCAGAAATCTTTCTGATTGAGAGGGGGTCAAATACATATTTCCCTCATTAAAATGCAAATCAATTTATAACATTTTTACATGCGTTTTTCTCACTGTATGGACAGTGAAACCATTACATCTTCATTATCCTGTCATTGACAGGTTACACCATTTATGGCATCAATATGTGACTTAAAATTAAGAAATAAATATTATTTTGAAAGAATAGCAGTCAAATCATTTGCATAGCCTACAGGGAGTCACCAGGAAATCTGGTCACACAGTGGACAGATATGAGACACATTTTAATACCATGTGTTGACATATTTCTGAAAATGTGGGCACAATCAGAATATGGACACGATCAGGACAAAGGACCCATGTTAGCACCAGGTATAAACGAGGCTAGTGTTCAGACTCGTCCTAGCCAGGCCTGGGGCCTCGATGCTGGGCTCAGAGGACCAACAAATGGCCCATTGTCGCTGGGGAGATGGTCCCTGTAACTTAAGGAATGTCCTCTAGTCCTATAGCTTGACTCTGAGAAAACATGGAGGTAGATGAGGAGAGGAGGAAGAGGAGAGGGGGTAACTTCTCCTCAGGGTAACCCCTATAGCTCTCTCAGCGATGATCACCGGTGCTCCTGGTTACAGTATGTGATTTATCTATTGTCCTATTGGCCGGTATTGGAACGGGGGCACCAGAGTCGCCAGGACACACAAAATAAATTGTTCTCTCCCTCCCTCTCTCTCTCCTTCCCGTTCTCTTTTACCACCCTTTTCCCCCGGTAAACACACATTTGTCTTCTTTTTTTTTTTTGCCGTTGCACTGCTTGATGGGAGGGCAAAAACAGCTAAATCAGCCCTTAAGAAGGGCAAGGCTAGCATCTCTCTGCCTTTCTCCTGCAGGCCCCCTGCCCTCCTCTGGTCTTGGAGTGAGTGGAGCCCAGTGAAAAGCAGTGATTCAAGTTCTGTAAGCTCCCTTGGAAGCCACTGAACCGTTAGCAATAAAACATGCTGAGTCCTACGGCTTTCCCTGAAAAGCCAACAGTCCACAATAGGATAATGGGAGAGACCGACTCCCTCCTCTTTTCTCCCGCTCTCCCCTGACTCTCTCTTTCTCTATGTATATTGCTCTGTTGCTTTCTTTCTCTATTTTTCCCTTAGTCTTTTATGCAACAAGGCCAGCCTTTAGTCCATAGATAGCAGGATAGTCCAGGGGACATTGTCTTGCTCTTTTAGGTTCATTTCTCCTGTCAAACTACATTATGATGTAATAAGAGAGGTAATGTTCTTTCCGTTTAGCATGTGTGTACTCAACTTTATGACCCATTGACCATCTAACCTGTATGGAAGCGAAAACATGTTTTGATGGCTGGTTAAACAAAAGACTACAGTATGTAGCGTATGTCATCGTAGTTTGTACTCATACCTCAGTTGGTGGTTTGAATTGAACATTTCTTTTACCAGGTTGTCCCATTGAGATCAAAATACCTCTCTTTCAAAGGAGACCTGGCAATGAGAAAACATTACCACCAATTGATCTACATCACCCGGTGTCACAGGAAGGACAAGAAGATAATCAAGGACCTCAGCCACCCGAGCCAGGCCCGTGTTCACCCCACTACCATCTAGAAGGCGGAGACAGTACAGATGCATCAAAGCTGGGACCGAGAGACTGAAAAACAGCTTCTATCGCCAGGCCATCAGACTGTTAAATAGTCACCACTAGCCGGCCTCCGCCTAGTACCCTGCCCTGAACTCTGTCACTGTTCTAGCCGGCTACCACCCGGTACTCAACCCTGCACCTTAGAGACTGCTGCCCTATGTACATAGAGTCATTGAACACTGGTCACTTTAATAATGTTTACATACTGTTTTACCCACTTCATATGTTTATACTGTATTTTACTCAAGGCTCATCCTATACTGTATAAATACTGCTGTACACACCTTTTCTATCCACATTGATACGTTACAACCTTATCCTAAAATGGATTTAATACAACAAATATACACACAATACCCCATAATGACAAAGCGAAAACATATTGTAATACATTTTTGCAAATTTATTAAAAATCAAAAACAGAAATACCTTATTTACGTAAGTATTCAGACCCTTTGCTATGAGACTTGAAATTGAGCTCAGGTGCATCCTGTTTCCATTGATCATCCTTGAGATGTTTCTACAACTTGATTGGAGTCCACCTGTGGAAAATTCAATTGATTGGACATGATTTGGAAAGGCACACACCTGTTTACATAAGGTCCACAGTTGACAGTGCATGTCAGAGCAAAACCCAAGACAGGATTGTGTCGAGGCACAGATCTGGGGAAGAGTACCAAAACATTTCTGCAGCTTTGAAGGTCCCCAAGAACACAGTGGCCTCCATCATTCTTAAATGGAAGAAGTTTGGAACCACCAAGACTCTTCCTAGAGCTGACTGCCTGGCCAAACTGAGCAATCGGGGGAGCTGACCAAGAACCCGATGGTCACTCTGACAGAGCTCTAGAGTTCCTCTGTGGAGATGGGAGAACCTTCCAGAAGTACAACCATCTCTGCAGCACTCCACCAATCAGGCCTTTATGGTAGAGTGGCCAGACGGAAGCCACTCCTCAGTAAAAGACACATGACAGCCCGCTTGTAGTTTGCCAAAAGGCACCTAAAGACTCTCAGACCATGAGAAACAAGATTCTCTGGTCTGATGAAACCAAGATTGAACTCTTTGCCCTGAATGCCAACCGTCACATCTGGAGGAAACCTGGCACCATCCCTACGGTGAAGCATGGTGATGGCAGCATCATGCTGTGGGGATGTTTTTCAGCAGCAGGGACTGGGAGACTAGTCAGGATCGAGGGAAAGATGAACGGAGCAAAGTACAGAGAGATCCTTGATGAAAACCTGCTCCAGAGTGCTCAGGACCTCAGACTGGGGCGAAGGTTCACCTTCTAACAGGACAACGACCCTAAGCACACAGCCAAGACAACGCAGGAGTGGCTTCGGGACAAGTCTTTGAATGTCCTTGAGTGGCCCAGCCATAGCCCGGACTTGAACCCGATCTCTGGAGAGACCTCAAAATAGCTGTGCAGCAATGCTCCCCATCCAACCTGACAGAGCTTGAGAGGATCTGCAGAGAAGAATGGGAGAAACTCCCCAGATACAGGTGTGCCAAGCTTGTAGCGTCATTGAATACATTTTAGAATAAGGCAGTAACCTAACAAAATGTGGAAAAAGTCAAGGGGTCTGAATACTTTCCGAAGGCACTACACTTTTTACATTTTTGTTATTTAGCAGACGCTCTTATCCAGAGCGACTTACATTTAGTGAGTGTATACATTTTTCGTACTGCCCCCCCCCGTGGGAATCGAACCCACAACCCTGGCGTTGCAAACGCCATGCTCTACCAACTGAGCTACACGGGACTACACTTTATTTATATGAAGATATTTCTTTATTTCTTTATTTTTGGGATTTGTGTGTATTGTTTTGTATTGTTAGGTATAATGCACTATTGGAGCTAGAAACATAAGCATTTCGCTGCACCTGTGATAACATCTGCAAAATATGTGTACAGGACCAATACAATTTCATTTAAAGAGTATTTGGGAGAGAGTAAACTGAGTCTGAGGCCAATTATAGGCCAACGGTATGTGAGTTCTCATAGAAACATCTCTGGACCAAAACAATGGGTCTTGGAATGGTGCATTGATATGTGAATAGCCTGTTTACAACTCTAAGCATTTACCTGCTGCTGCTCCCAGGGTTACAAAGCACATAGTGTAGTCCTGGGGTTACTAGGTAGCAGTGCACTTGAAAGTAATCAAGGGGCGACGTTAGAGATGAGGAGAGGGAGGAAAGAAGGAGGAGGAGCATTCAATGCAAAGACAATGTTATGTAACAGTTTGAGAGTGTTGTTGAGGACAGTTAACCTTCAACATGGACTACTTTTTTGGAATTCTTAACAATAGGTGGAAGATTACATGTGAAAATGAAAACAAAGAAATCCTACATAAATAGTTGAAGTGTGAAACATAGAAGTAGTTCATAAATCATCTATTAATTTATATTTCACCATTATCATTATGAAAAGAAAACATACAAATTGTTTATTCAGTTTATCTACATACAGGATGTAAGTAATAAAGAAAAGTGTTCTACAAAAACTCCTTTTGTGAGGTGTTGTGTATCTACTCAAGACTTTTGAAATAGCTCAAACTCAAAGTGAAAGCAATGGTAATGCAGTCACATGCTCACAAACCCAGTGGAGTGGAGCTAATAACAGTAGAAGGTGAATATACATTGCAGTCTGCTGCCCCCCTCTGTCTAAATGACTAACTGCAGGTGGTGAGAGGTTAATCACCATTATTTCGCTCTCCCAAAACATCAGTTTCTTTTGAATTTCAACCTCTATAAATCACTCTAGGATTGCAGCCTAAACAGAACCCTATTCCCTATATAGTGCACTACTTTTGACCACAGTCTATCACTATATACTGAATAAGGTGCTTTTTCAGATGCAGACTGTCTTTGAATGGGTCATTAGTATAGCTTGGTATAAGAGGATGCTGAGTTTAATCATGGGAGAATAAGGAAAGTAATGAGGCCAACAATGGAGTCAATCTGCCAATACAAGCATGGGACTTTACACTCAGACTAGAGAAACTACAATAGCCTTTTACTATAGCCTGGTTCCAGATCTGTTTGTGCTCTTGCCAACTCCTTTTCTGTCATTGCCGAGCCAAACATGGCACGACAATTCCATAAGGAGTTAGCAAGAGAGCAGAAACAGACTGGCACCCAGGCTAACCTCTCTACAGAGAATAATTCTACGACAATGGTTGGTACATGGATTCAGTCCTTTAATATCACAAGAGGTCAAACCTTAGAAGATGAAATATATTAAATTCATAACTTATAATAAATATTATATTAGTACTATTTGTATAAATAGATGCTAATCTATAAACCGTATATATTAGATTAGAATTGGAGAAGGGGACTATTCATATAAAAGTACATGGTACTGTGTCATCCCAAACAATGCAACAGTGACAATTATACATAGGGCCCTGAGTTTTACCAGGGAATACCTCTGGCCCTATTCATACAAAACAAGTTGGCACTCAGTTATGGAATTATGGGAAGTGTAGTTCTTGTAATCCCTTGTGGGCAACAGAGTAGCTGTACTGGGGTGTGTGAATGGACTACGGCCTCAGGAGGAAGGGATCGTCCCCAGAGTAGAGACGATGACAAACAGCCACAGGAACAGCCTGTCCACCACGATGGCTACGTACTGCCAGTCTCCTGTCTCCTGTAGGGCGAACACACACAGGCACACGCACAAAGAGACATAGAGACATACGTAAGTATGTAAGTATTGAAGAATAAAGTACAGTATGTCTGCAGTAACACATGGACATCACTAGAGCATGCTGGGAACACTGACTGGCTCTGGGACTAGAGAATGGAGATGAATTTAATGAGAAGCGAGGGGGAGGTTGTGTGTGTGTGTGTGTGTGTGTGGTGTGTGTGTGTGTGTGCGGTGCCCACTGAGTCGGTACTGTCCTGCTTCTTCAGGTGCTCAGCCATGTATGTGACGTCAGTTATGGCTGACTTGAGGTCCGGGGGGAGGATCAGACAGTAGTCGTCACTGTCAAAGAACCCCTGGAGCTGCACTGTACTCTCACTCTCACTCCACACCAGAACATCCACCAATTCACATAGAGAACAGACAATGAACATGTGACAATTTTCTTATAGAACATGTGAAACTATTCAGCCTGGTCTCATAAACTAGACATAACATAGTAAATGTAAATCCGGGACACTGAAATTAGTATGATATGTTATGTTTGGTATGGTTACATAAGACAGAAGGTTACTTAAGGCAAAAAACGAAAGTAGGGTAGTTGGTCAGGGTGGATGGGTGGGCGTATAATGCAAACATCTAGCAACCCAAAGGTTGCGCGTTCGAATCTCATCACAGACAACTATAGCATTTTAGCTAATTAGTAACTTTGCAACTACTTACTACTTTTGAGCAACTTAACATGTTAGCTAAACCTTCCTCTAACCCTAAAACGTAACCCTTTAACCTAACCCTAACCTTAGCATTTAACCAACCATAACCTCTAACCCAGCTGACGTTAGCCACCTAGCTAATGCTAATGTTAGTGTTAGCCACCGTTAGCTACCGTAAAACAAATTCGTAACGTTTAGCAAATTCGTAAGATATTGTATGAATTGCAATTCGTAAGATATCGTACAAATTATAAATCGTAACATATCATACGAAATGGATGATCGACATCCACAAATTAATACATACCTTACGAAACGTAACATTTCATACTAATTGGAGTGTCCCGGATTTAAATTTACTATGTTATGTCTACCCCTGATTCCTGGTTGAACTACTGTATATCCCTTGGTTAACAAAGGACTGTTAAACAGTCACCACTAGCCGGCCTCCGCCCAGTACCCTGCCCTTAACCTTAGAGACTGCTTTGAACCCTGGTCACTTTAATGTTTACAAGCTGTTTTACCCACTTTATATGTATATACTGTATTCTAGTCAAGGCTCATCCTATATAACTACTGCTGTACACACCTTTTCTAGTTATATACTGTCCATAATGTCTATACACACTCATCATATATATTCCGGACTTTGACATTGATCCTTCTGATATTTCAAAATGTCTTTCTTTTTACTTTTTGGATTATGTGCGTATTGTTTTGTATTGCTAGGTATTAGTACTGCACTGTTGGAGATAGAAACACAAGCATTCTGCTGCACCTGTGATAACATCTGCAAACCTGTGTATGCAACCAATAAACTTTGATTTGATTTTGATTTGATGTGAGCAATTGTTTGATTGAAATGGAAACACAGACTCTCTGTCAAGGACGTTTGTTTCCTATAAGGATCATCACAGTGACCTGAGGCATCAACACAGCAGAAGTAATATAATATATACCCAATATACTGAATGTCCTTTATATACTGTAGCTTACCTCACGCACAGCCATACATACCACCCCACAGACCCGCCACCCTCGTAGTAACACAACAATGTTGGGTCAACCTGCTCCACAAACATGGTGTTAACGGGTGCCTGCCACGCACCCCTGTCCCCTCAATATGCCTGTAACACCCATGTACAGTAACAGGGTTGTCTATCAATATATCACTATATCAATATCAATCTATCACTATATCAATATCAATCTATCACTATATCAATATCAATCTATCACTATATCAATCTATCACTATATCAATATCAATCTATCACTATATCAATCTATCACTATATCAATATCAATCTATCACTATATCAATCTATCACTATATCAATATCAATCTATCACTATATCAATATCAATCTATCACTATATCAATATCAATAGCAATATATCCCTATATCAATATATCCCTATAGAAGTATCAATATCAATATATCGTATCAATATATACATATTTTCAGTGATGCTCACCGAATATTTTGAATAATTATTACACCATACATGTACAATTGGTCTTATGGAGATACAATAAAAAATTGAGGGACATCATGTCTATTTTACTATTTCATATGACATTCTTTCTTTGGCACTGTTTTATAGTCACACAGCTGATGAGAGATGTGTGTGTTCATTAGCCAGGCCCAGGGCTATTCAGTATCTATCCATTATCACCTCTATAGGGAGGCCAGACTGGCACCAGGGCTATTCAGTATCTATCAATTATCACCTCTATAGGGAGGCCAGATCACCAGGGCATCAGTATCTTCAGTATCTATCACCTCTATAGGGAGGCCAGACAGGTACCAGGGCTATTCAGTATCTATCAGTTATCACCTCTATAGGGAGGCCAGACTCACCAGGGCTATTTATATCTATCAGTTACCTCTAAGGGAGGCCAGACGGTACCAGGGCTATTCAGTATCTATCAGTTATCACCTCTATAGGGAGGCCAGACAGGTACCAGGGCTATTCAGTATCTATCAGTTATCACCTCTTTAGGGAGGCCAGACTGGCACCAGGGCCATTCAGTATCTATCAGTTATCACCTCTATAGGGAGGCCAGACAGGTACCAGGGCTATTCAGTATCTATCAGTTATCACCTCTATAGGGAGGCCAGACAGGTACCAGGGCTATTCAGTATCTATCAGTTATCACCTCTTTAGGGAGGCCAGACTGGCACCAGGGCCATTCAGAATGTATCAGTTATCACCTCTATAGGGAGGCCAGACAGGTACCAGGGCTATTCAGTATCTATCAGTTATCACCTCTTTAGGGAGGCCAGACAGGTACCAGGGCTATTCAGAATGTATCAGTTATCACCTCTATAGGGAGGCCAGACTGGCACCAGGGCCATTCAGTATCTATCAATTATCACCTCTATAGGGAGGCCAGACTGGCACCAGGGCCCACCTGTTAGGCTGGAACCACCACCTCCACCACCATGTGGGCATCATAACCTCCTGGCAACACAAAGGCCAAGGGAGTGAGTGTGTGTGTGTGTGTGTGTGTGTGTGTGTGTGTGCTAGGGTGTCACTGAGGGGAGCATGATATGTCACCAGGGACACAGGGCGACACCGGATATCTCCCCTCACACTGGGGAAGTAGGAAACCAGACCAGTTCCGGTAAAGAAAGGGGGATTAAGTGTATGTGTGTGTATCTGTTTGTGTGTGTGTCTGTGTGTGGGATAAAGGCTATAGGGATAGGAGGAATAGAACTACAATGCCAGACTTATACTTTACTGGGGCTGTATATCCCTGAGATGAGACATCTATTGGTCTAGTGAAGATTATACTACTGCCAAGACTGGGCACACAGTGGACCTAATTGTAATAGCAAGGCTGGCACTGGAGAAAAAGGCATTTATACTTTGGATAGTGCTGTAGAGAAGATTCCTGCTTTGGCTTGCTTGTATTCACTCGAATAACAATCTCTTCACCATAAAATATTTTTAGCCAAGACAGACTGTAGTCTCAAACCACAACCCAAAATAAAGTAGTTATATACTGGTGGGTCTCTGTTCTGTCTGTTCGTGTGTGTGTGTGTGTGTGTGTGTGTGTGTGTGTGTTTGTAAACTATATCTGTCTGTTTATGTGACTGTGTGTGAGATAGAGAATGAGAGAGAGACAGAGCGAGGCAGGCTCCATCTGTCTGTGGTCATGAATGGAAGCCCTGGACTGCTGCTGTCACGCAGTAGGCAGGACGGAGCATAGCTGGGCCCTGAGGGGGAAAGATCTCACTCACACACACACACACACACACACACACACACACACACACACACACACACACACACACACACACACACACGCACACACGCAGTAGGCAGGACGGAGCATAGCTGGGCCCTGAGGGGGAAAGATCTCACTCACACACACACACACACACACACACACACACACACACGCAGTAGGCAGGACGGAGCATAGCTGGGCCCTGAGGGGGAAAGATCTCACTCACACACACACACACACACACACACACACACACACACACACACACACACACACACACACACACACACACACACACACACACACGCAGTAGGCAGGACGGAGCATAGCTGGGCCCTGAGGGGGAAAGATCTCACTCACACACACACACACACACACACACACACACACACACACACACACACACACACACACACACGCAGTAGGCAGTAGGCAGGACGGAGCATAGCTGGGCCCTGAGGTGGAAAGATCTCACTCACACACACACACACACACACACACACAGGCGCTCGTTTAATGTGAGAAGTTCACCAGCAATGTTACTCAATTCAAAATGATGGCTAGACATTTCAACTCTGTATGGCAAGTGTGAATTTCTGACTGAAAACGTTTATGAGCCTGCTTTGAGGCACAGCTCATTCTAGCTACGTTAACATTCTAATCACATCAGTGTTTTTGCGAGACAGCGTGGTGTCGGGAATCCTCAAAACCAAGTGAAGAATCTTGTAGTGTGTGACCACCGTCTGTGCCAACTCTTTTATTTGTATTGTTAGGATTTGCGTGTATTGTTTTGTATTGTTATAGGTATTACTGCATTGTTGGAGCTAGGAACATAAGCATTTCGCTACACCCGCGATAACATCTGCAAAATACTATATGTGTACGCAACCAATAAAATTGTATTTGATTTTGACACACACATTTTAAATACTTTATTTGAATCCACCAATCAAATAGGACAAAAAAAGGATTCCAAACATTTCAAAGGTCCCTGTATGCATGGCACTCAAGGGTACAGAAAGCACATCCTTCTCCAAACAGCTAAACTGACCACGACAGCTACAATGGAGCAGTACCTAGCCAATTGCTTTGCCCAAGTTTTTGTCAGACCCGCAATCTGGAGGCCACGCACTGCAAGCCTGTGTACGTGGCCGAGACTGCCAAATATCAGCGCCACCATCTTGCACCTACACCCGAGGCTGTCCAAGCATGCCACGAGGGGCTGGTATTTAAGCAGCTTCTCGGCAAAGGCCTGCTCCATGTAGCCGTCAAATGAGTGAGTCAACCGATTTAGCTAGCTATCTAGCTAGCAATGGCAATCCTGTTAGCATTATTGTCATACTGAGATTACTGTTCTAAAAACATGTTCTTGAGGTTAAATAAATCATATTGATTGAACTTTGCAGAGGAAGTTTATGAGTGAATTAAAACATGTTCTATGCTTTCATTGAGCTTATTTCTCTCCACATGCCCAGGGGTTGGAAGGACCAGGGTTTAGTGATAACTGGATTAGAAACCCAGTTGCTTCACAGGGGAAACATATAAAGAAGCAATGAACTGTCAATACCTTTTTGGGATAGAACGTCTGCTAAATTTTCTAAATCTAAGTTAAGGAAAAAATGGCAGTTATGAACAATTTTCTTCTTAAGAAGGTTTTGTGAATCTGGGCCCTGGTCTCTAATTAGCTCTGTGACCACAGAAAGAGAGAGTTGAATCACTACTCTCTCGCTCAAGGAACAGTTGAGTTGACACTGGCGCCATCGTCCCACTCTGGATGGTGAGACTGGGATGACACTCACAGATTACTGGGGGGCCAACTAAATATCATCACTGAGTGGACTGTGGAGAGTATAGTATAGTAGAGTATTATAGATGCTATGGTGAGTATATTGAAGAGGCTATGGAGAGGAGGCATCTATTGAGGGTTGGAAGAGATGGAGATAGGAAGAATAGGGGCTACAGTGCTAGACTATTGGGATAGTGGAGCGAATATGGAGAGGTCATCTATTGATCGTTTAGTATAGAGCCCTCAACTCAACTCTGGACCTCGAAGCCAGTTCCACTGCGTATTTTCATTGTTCTCCTCTAATCAGGGACTGATTTAGACCTGGGATACCAGGTTGGTGCAATTAATTATCAGGCAGAACAGAAAACCAGCAGGCTCCGGACCTCATATGGTAAGAGTTGAATACCCCCGGATAAATGCCATAGGGATAGGAGGAATAGAACTACAATGCCAGACTTATACTTTATTGGGGCTGTATATCCCTGAGATGAGACATCTATTGGTCTAGTGAATATTATACTACTGCCAAGACTGGGCACACAGTGGACCTAATTGTAATAGCAAGGCTGGCACTGGAGAAAAAGGCATTTATACTTTGGATAGTGCTGTAGAGAAGATTCCTGCTTTGGCTTGCTTGTATTCACTCGAATAACAATCTCTTCACCATAAAATCTTTCTAGCCATATAGTACGAGCCAAGACAGACTGTAGTCTCAAACCACGACCCAAAATAAAGTAGCTGTGTGTGTGTGTGTGTGTGTGTGTGTGTTTGTGTATGCATGCATGTCTTGGTAGTTGATAACTTACCTGCCTCTCCAGGGTAGGACCAGTTCAGGGTTAATCTTCCTGAAGAAGTACTCTCCCCCCGACCTTCTTCCATCGACGCTCTGGAGGGGCGTGTCATCACTAGGCTCCTCCTCCAGGGGCTCCTCTGCGTGTGGCTTCTGCATGCCCAGGCACTTTGGCAGGAAGTGGATGAACACCTGGATGAGGGGTCAAAGGTCAAGGTTTTAGCAGAAAGTAGCAAACATATGGCCCCTTGGCATAGAAGAAGCAGAAGAAGAAGCAGAAGTAGCAGAAAAAGAAGCAGAAGTAGCTGAAGAAGAAGCAGAAGAAGAAGCAGAAGAAGAAGCAGAAGCATAACAGGCAGAAGCAGAAGTAGCTGAAGCAGAAAAAGAAGCAGAAGTAGCTGAAGAAGAAGCAGAAGAAGAAGCAGAAAAAGCAGAAGCAGAATCCTAGAGTCTATATCTCATACAGACTCCATAGCGCTGTCATGTAGGCTACAGCTCACCTTGCGCACCCTGGGGGGCATAATGTGTGTGGAGGGGGTCCGGTGGTGCAGGTTGAGGACCACCACACTGAGGATGACTGAGAAGGTTACCAGGATCATGGTGAACATGACATAGTTAATTATAAGAGGGATAGCCAGGGAGGTCTCAGGGACCTTGTCAGGCAGCAGCAGCATGAACACAGGAGAGCGATGAGGACAGAGATGGACAGGGTCCTCTTCTCACCTAGGAGAGAAAGGGAAACACAGGGTTAAAACATGGCGACTATTGAAGTAATAAAGAATGGGCTTAAACATTATGAACCACCTAAAGACAAATATTGTTTATTTTACAACTGCGGGCCATGTTAAATCGGTTCACGGGCCGCATCTGGCTCGCAGACCGCCAGTTTGAGACCCCTGCTCTAAAAAATAAATAAATAGACTACATAAACATCTTCCCCAGAGCACAACATATATTCTTAATGATACTTCCTTGCTTTGTAATTAAACTATGGCAAGTTACCCATCTCAAGTTATCATAGAGATGTGCTGCCCATGCTAAAGCATGCTTGGTGGCAAGTGTGCCCTCTTTCCATCTCAATGCAAGTTACACATGCCAATGAGACAATGTGCATGTGTGGCATGTTGTGCCTGCATGCGACTGACATGAGTCAGAAGACGAAGATGTTAACGACGTAGAAGAGAGGCTTCCTCTGGATGATGAGATAGAAGGTGATGTCTTCATACAGGTCCCCAGGGTTCACGTTCTTCCTGCTGGGCTTATGGCAGATCGCCCACTCCCCGTTCTCTGTGGAGAGGGAGATGAGGGGAGAGTGTGGAGGGAGAGAGGAAGGAGGTGACAGGGAACAGGGGCGTAAAAAAAAAAAAGGTGCATTGTGGTGCTAGGAGAGCAGAGCAGAGAAGGTAACAAAAGTAGGAGACAAAAGAGAGGCCGGGCGAGATGAGAGAAGACACTGACCAGCGAAGGAGTTCTCATCTATGATAATCTCATGTATATCCTCTCCGTTCTCATCCAGGGCATATTGGAGGTCCACCTCTGATGAGTCGTAGGTGTAGGAGCGAAACACTATGATGCAGCTCTGCCAGTCAAACGGGAAGTACGCCACCTATAGGCAAGGAGGAGTTATTACAGCACCCCCCCGCCCATCTGGCACTCCAGGCAGGCTAACGCAAACGCTCAAAGTATTTGAAAGATCTTAAATATTATTTGAACCCAGGTCTGGCTATGCTGTCCTGGTTTATAGGGCAGATGCTGCGGTAGATAGCAGGAGGCAGCCAGTTGACTGTCCCATCACTGTTGACCAGCACGTTGACATACAGAGCCACATCAAACTGGCCATCATTATTGTGTGGATAAGGAGGTACACATAATGTGATGCACTTTTAATTTTTTACATTTATTTAGGCAGGGGAGTCCCATTGAGACCAAGGTCTCCTCTTCAAGGGAGCCCTGCATGAACTACATACCCAGTATGACTGAATCTACAACGCCCTAGTAAATCAGCCTCTATCAGTCTTTGAACAATACCTAGAGATTATGTTAGGGCCAAACGTTTTTTTCCTGACCATTTGGACTTTAAACGGAGTGGCTGCGGATCCGACTTCTCTGAACCCCTCTCCCGACAGCTAAAGGTCCGAAGCTTCTGACCATGTGCAGGATTCTCTACTTTACTCACGGTCTCTGCTCTACTCATTTGGCTGCTCAGAGAACAGGCTACTGAAGAAATTAAGCGAGGGAGGGTGGAGTAAGACCTGCCTGTAATTGATATGGGATGGCCAAAATTGTTATAATTGAGATAATGATTGGTCATTGGCATGCCACTTTTGATGTGTATATCGAATGACCAAAACGGGGGACTGTAATGGAAGATGACGATGAATATTCAGTTAAGAGTAATTAACACAATGCTTAGCTTATTTATATGTTTTCTCTTTCTATAATGCACATGATTTCCTGTGCTCTATTTGTGTGACTCATGTGTACGGGTTGATGGTCACTATACTTGTTACTGAACGTTATGGATTGTTCTCATATCGATAGTGATGGACACCATAAGTTACTGAAGGTACAAGGACTGAGGACACACTGATTAGCATGGTATTGATAATAATAATAATATGCCATTTAGCAGACGCTTTTATCCAAAGCGACTTACAGTCATGCGTGCATACATTTTTGTGTATGGGTGGTCCCGGGGATCGAACCCACTACCTTGGCGTTACAAGTGCCGTGCTCTACCAGCTGAGCTACAGAGGACCACGACATTATGAACACTGTAATTCTGTAGCAGCTGTCAGAAAGGGCCTGTCTCCAAGAGGCCCATTAGACATTTTCTTTGCTTCTGCTCAGGAGGTGTTCTCCCTGAATTCTTGTAATAGACCGGATAGATTTTTAATTGATATCAACAACTGCTCTCCTTTTGGTTCACCTGAAAATTCCCTTTATACCAGGATTACTCACAACAATTGAGAGGTAGAGCCTATGCGAAGTGTTCAGATGATCACAGTATTAAGTGGATTGCTAGATTTTTCGTGTTATTGTAAAACAATTCATAATTTTGAATTGAATCAAAGGCAGCCCTGTCACTTGGTTTGCAATTAAGCTGAGGGATGGGGCTGAAGGAATTCAATCATTTCTGGAATAGTGGAACAATCGGAGATAAAAATAGATTGCAAATAGAATGATCAGACAATGGAGTGTTAATGAGCTTCTTTAAATGTTACATTTGACAAAAATCTATTTAACCAGCAAACATTTGGTTCCTTGGAAGTTGTGGGAACATACGTTTTTGGTTTCCCATTGGTTCTGGGAACAAAGCCATACGTTTCCTGACAGGTAAAACTGAACATTTGTCTCCCAGCTAGCACATAACATTCTGAGAACCAGATGTTTCTTAGGGCTTGGTGAGTGCGTGGTTGTCCTATGGCTATTTAGCATAAAACCTTCCCACAACTTTCTGGGAATGGTGCAGGATAGTTGCTTGGCTTTTGAACATTCCAAGGAACTTGAAAACAACTATATTTTTCATTACTTTAACAGAACGTTTCCTAAAAGTTCAAACATGGTTACATTTAATAAAAATGTTGGTAATGTTCTAGGAACGTTCTCCAACTGGTTTGATATTGGGAATGTTCTCAAATAGTTCAGAGAACATTATGAAACAACGTTCTTCTGTTAGAATTTCAGTACTATAGCATAAAGTTTCCTACATGTTTACTCATGGTTCTATTTAAAGTCATGTTCTCAAATTGCTCCAAGAATGTTAAGAAACAACGTTCTTCTGTTGGAATTTCAGTACTTCAGCATAACGTTTCCTACAGGTTTACACGTGGTTCTATTTAAAGTAATGTTCTCAAATTGCTCCAAGAATGTTAACAACGTTCTTCTGTTGGAATTTCAGTACTTCCACAGAACCTTCCACACAAGTTCCCATGTGATTCTATTTAATTGTCATATTTTTACTACATTTAGGGAACGTAAAAAAATTTTATGACTTAAGCGATGTTCTCAGAATGTTCAGAGAACGTATGTTTCTCTTTTATGTCAGTTCTTGGCAATATTCTGGGAATGTTCCAAAAAATATACATTGTACACATTAACACCGATTAACTCTAAATTCCGCTCTCAGTAAAGGAAGAAAACTTTCCATAAAAACCACAAGAAAACGTTAATGATCTTAATGAGTGCTTGTTTCCTTTGAAATGGGGTCTGTTTGAATAGACTAAAATGAACAGCTTTGTATGTATAAAAACATCATGGCATGCTAGCTCCATCCTGGTGGCACAGTGGCCTTTGATTGTTCCTATATCGTTTGATAGTGATTGATGCCAGAGTAACTGAAGGTACAAGGACACACTGATTAATTATCATTGTATTGATGACATTATGAACACTGTGTGATTCTGTAGCCTTCATACTGTGTCTCCCGAGTGGCGCAGTGGTCTAAGGCACTGCATCGCAGTGCTAGCTGTGCCACTAGAGATCCTGGTTCGAATCCAGGCTCTGTCGTAGCCGGCTGCGACCGGGAGACCCTTGGGGCGGCGTGCAGTTGTCCAGGGTAGGGGAGGGAATGGCCGGCAGGGATGTAGCTCAGTTGATAGAGCATGGCGTTTGCAACGCCAGGGTTGTGGGTTCGATTCCCACAGGGGGTATGAAAAAATAAAAAATTATAATAATGTATGCACTAACTGTAAGTCGCTCTGGATAAGAGCGTCTGCTAAATGACAAAAATGTAATGTAAATGTAAATACAAGCCTCTAGGGCTGATGTTTAGAAAACATTTGGTACTGTCTGATTAGAATATAAAGGGCCTGTCTCCAAGAGGCCCATTAGACATTTTCTTTGCTTCTGCTCTGAAGGTGTTCTCCCTGAATTCTTGTAATAGACCGGATATATTTTTTATTGATATCAACAACTGCTCTTCTTTTGGTTCACCTGAAAATTCAGTTTACACCAGAATTACCCACAACAATTGAGAGGTAGATCCTAAATGTGAAGTGTTCAAATGATCACAGTATTACAGGGATCAATAGCTTTTTCATGTTGTTGTAAAACAATTCTTAATTTCTAATTAAGTCAAAGGCAGCCCTGTCACTTGGTTTTGCAATTAAGCTGAGGGATGGGGCTGAAAGATCCAATCAAGCTCATATTCATAGATGGAGCTCTGGATGCAAGGACTAGCAGTCCATGAGATCAGCATGATAGTTTTGAAGCTTTTCATCTTTGAAGATTCCTGTTACTGTATGTGGAAAATATCTGGGTTAGGCAATTGCATTGTCTCAGAAGAAGGCATGCATTTCCTCCTACACTGGGGCAAACTTGTTTTCTATAGCTGAAATATAGTCAATGGATTGCCATACCTGGTAATGTTAGCCTTTGACTAGCTCCAGCCTGTCACTAGTTAACTGTATGAGGCTACTGTATTTTTTAAACACTTGTGGTTGGTGGAATCCAAACAATAAGGGATGCTACATCCAATGAAACGGAGAGTTGAAGTTTCTGATTTGCGACTTCCCTAAGGTCTTGTTTCTGTATACGTGTCACAAGAGGCCAGGCAATTGCTTGTTAGAAGCTCTTTGTAGATTACTGCTAACTGTTCCACTCTCTCTTCAACATATTTTTCTGGTGACATCGATCTGAACGTACAGACCCATTATATGACCTCTGGGGCTGG